CCCTGCATCCACCCGCTGCTCCCCGGCCACCTGAAGGTCCCCCGATCCCCCTCATGTGATATCCAATTTCAGGTTTTGTGAAGCCATTATCAGCTAGGGATTGGATAGCAGAAGCATGGCGTGTATAAGATCTGAACATTGAAGACTTGCAATGCAGCTCAATGGTATGCCTTCCTCAGTTCCTTATAATCTTTGAAGCCTAAATCCTGAACTGTTTTTTTATACAAGCCTAAATGTTCTCACGTGTTACTGCTTTTGTACAAGACAACATGCGTACAACGTCTACAAAAGTATTTTTGGACTGTTTTGTGTGCATCGGGCAACACATACATTAAGCTGTTGCCATTGCCCATCATCTCCTAAACTCTATTCTAGGAAGCATGGTTTCGTTTTATCCCATATATATATATCAGTATATAAGTATGTTACCTTTTGTACAATGTTGGTGATTTGTCCATGGAAATATTTAATTAAACAGTGTTTATCTTCTGCATCATTTTTTATCTTTTTACCACGACAGGGATGGAGCTCTCAGCGATGTGGAGTTCAATGTCTTTCGGGTTGTTCTATACAGTTTTATTAGTGTTTTAGTATATACTTATTTGCATAAGAAGTTTGCTTATGTTAGTGATTCCTCTCGGCAAAGGAAATATTCTGCCTTCAATACAACAAATAAATTCAGTATTCATGCGCTAAATGAAATTCGTTAGTTCATTATTACTACATTATTACCAGCTATTGATTTTGTAGTATTTATTAATTAGTAGTGCCTCACTAGGATGAACATGTATTTTGTTCTCCGCAAAAATAAGGATTTTTCCGGCCTGTTAATTTTTCAGACATTGTGACCTGCTGAATCCTTTTTCCCTTACTGCACACATGCACATCATTTTAATTTCGTGTGCACTTCCCAACTTGTTAGTGCCATCGTACCATGTTTGTTAGTCATGCTTTACTTATTATTTGGGCACCTTGGGGTAACATCTTGCCAACGTTTCTTCAGAATGGTGAATACATGTTCAAAAGCACTCGAAATCATATTACCTTTCATTTTGTTGGAAGGAAAAAAATCTTTAAAACTGGATATATTTTTCTTTACCCTGGAAAAGCACCAGTTCAGCAGTTGATTTTTCCAAATGCATGTCCTTGGTATAGTAGTTTTGCAGGATATAAGACATGATGGAAGACATGACAAGGCCCCTGGCTTACATGCTTGCCCCTGACTGTGATGTTAAACGGACGGAGGGACATTGCTTTGGCGCCAGCTCATTCCTCATTCTGGAAGTGTGCACTGGTGTAAGAACGCTGGCATTTAAAACTATCCTTAATTTGTTTATATCTTTGTAAAGCACTTATAATGCTTGAGTTATCATGTTAGTCACATAAAACAATACGCACTTGCACTTTCAGGCAAACCTAGACTTGATTGCCAGTTGCTCTACTCTAGGTGTTGGTTTAATACTAATACCGTGTCTCCAAACTTTAACCGTGGAAATTATATGGCTCATGTAAGTTCTAATACTTTCATATTCAAGTTTAGCAAAGTGACGTACTATTTTCTAATGTATGTGAGGATATATGGCGCTTTATTGCCTGGCAGGCTCAATTTTGATGACACAATTAGAGTAAGTACTTGGAGAAAATTTTATTATTTATGATATCTTTTTTAAGAGGTTTCATTCACAATGAAGTCCAAAGGTAGAGCTGAAAATTATCATGCTTAAGAATTTATGTGACTTCTATAATAGTGTTTGTCGTACCAGCATCTCTTTTACAGAACAAACATATTTTCTGTAGTATCTTAGCTTCAAACTATTTCCTGGTGCTCTTTTGTAAATTGTGGTGATGCATGTCATAGTACTCAGGCGGTCTGATAATTTATTATTTCATCTCTTTTTCGTAATGAAATGTATCGGTTAATCTTACAAGTTGATATGCTCCTCACTTCAAGCACAAACTCCATGCCCATCGAGTTGCATTTGTGTTCAGCCAACACACTGGAAAACTGAGAAACTTGTGCTCGATCGCCTCCAAAAAGTAGAAATTAGTGAATTATCAGGAACTGAACATGAACGTGATTTTGTGCAACGGTTATTCAATTGGGCAACATCCTTCAAACAAATAATTTTTATCGTAATATATTTCTAATATTTAAGTGTGCGTGATGTATTTTAGATAGTACCGATCATCTGAACTTCTTGTGTAGTTCCATTAATATTGTGTGCCCGATTCTTATTGAAATTAACAAAATATTTATAAAGTTATAATAAAAATGTACAATCTCTAATAATACAGTGGGTATTACTTTGTTAAGACGTGCGTTGCACGTGTCGCTTACTAGTATGACCCAAACGGACGCGTGTTTTGTCCATTTTTTTAACACACACTATTAGAGAAAACCTTACACAAAGAATTTTAGCAGTGGCGCTGGCTAAAATGAGGCGCTGTTGCTATTTAGTAGTAGCGCGTGTACATTACAAACGCAAGCACTTAATTACATGCGCATACACTCACCCTTATGAACGCACACATACACCCTACCTTTATGAGCACCCCTGAAAGACTAAGCCGACATATTATCACCTCGTCGTTGACGGGAACATCTCCTCCCACTGAATGCACATCGCCGGAAATGCTAAAATAAATCCAGGAATAAATATAAGCAACCCTGATGGGTTGGGATACCACGGTCCCTCCAACCATCAAACTACAAGTTGATTCGTCGTTTTTTGTCTGTTTGGGTCTTTGGGATTGTCCACCTTTTATTTTGGATGGATCGTGTCGTCCAACAGATGGCCGGCACATTATTTTCCCGGCAAAAAAAAACAAATTTAAAGACATGCGGCCGAATTTAACATAATTAAACACTAAACGGCCGGTCAACCGCCCGCAAAAGTCCATTTAAACATTAATAAAACATTAGAAAAACTAAAAATGCGCCCACACGCTACCTGGTCCTTGTCATCGTTGTTGTCGTCACCTGTGAGGTCGAAAAAGGTTGGCGGCGGCCCAACCCACGGGAATGCGGTCTCTCACGTCACTTGCGCCGACTCCTCCAGCGTCTGCTCCACAACAACATTGCTGCGCGGCGGGCGCGCTCCTCCTCCTCCCATGCCAAGCGGGCTCGGCGCTCCTCCTCCTCGAGCCCGTCCTGCATCTGGTGCTCGCTGTCGGCCCACTCCTCCGCCAGCCAGTGTTGCCTCCATTGCTCGAGATAGGCTGCCTTCTCCTCCGGTGGTGTGTCCATGTAGACGGCTGGCGCCTCACCCACTCGCAGACAATGACAATCCATACGTACATATCCAGCGCGCGCTCGGTGGGCACCATGGGCGTGCACGGGGGCGTGGGCATGCGCGTGGCGTGTGCTCGGGCAGGCGGCGGCGGTGGAGCCAGGGGTAAACGCAATCCCCCGCCGCCGGCAGCATGGGGGCCTCCTCTAGGCCGTTCCAGCGTGCGTCCTACTTGAGTTGTCTCTCCTCCAGGGCGTGCTGCAGTGTTGCCTCTAGTGTAGCCTGGTAGGCTGCCTCCTCCTCCTCCTCCTCCTCTGGCATGACCTTCGTGGGCGACGACACGAAGCCAGGGTTGAGCTGCACACTGCCATGGCGGGCCAGGTCATGCTCTATCACGAATCAGACCTCCCAGTTAGGGAGGCGCCGTTGCTCCGGCATAAGGAGGGCGCGCCAGCACAAGCACCTGTGGCGACCGTGGCACTGCAGGCACGGGGGTGCCAGCCATGGGGCAGGTTGACGTCCGGATAGGGCAGCGGCTGGCGGTACTGTTAGTGCCGGCACGCTTGGTGCACCGAGATGTACAACCTGTCCCGTGGCCCGCCGCATGGAGGAGGTGGCGGCGGCAGAAGAGGAGGCACGCGGGACGAGCTGGCACTGGCGTGGAGCTTCCCATTCCCCTTGCGAAAGAAATCCATGGCTAGGGTTTTGCTGTCGTCGGCAAGGTGGGCAAGCTTGGCTAGATGTGGACGGGGGAGGGGAAGTGGATGAGGCCGGCCGCCCCTGCACGCTTGCATTGAAAAGGCTGGTGCTTCCATCCACTGCCAAGCGGGCCCGAGGTAGGTGGTCGTGTTTAATACAACCACGAGCAGTGGGTGTGCCACCGATAGGTGGGGCCGTGGCGGACACCGAACGGACGCGCGGTGCGTCCGTCTCGAATCCGTGTGAACACAAAACGAGCGCAAATTTGAGCCTGTAATGCGTCCAAACGGACAGCGACTAGACGCTTTTTGGATTTGGGTCGGCGGGATAGGCTGTTCTTTTGGTCCATTTCGCCACAAACGGACACGCGCGGATCATTTGGGTTGGCGCGTTGGAGTTGCTCCAACAACTGGATCGGCAACTAGCCACGGCGGGAAACAAGATTATGGATTTCAGTTTAACTGAACAAATTGACTTCGTTTATGAGGAAAATCCAGCCAAAATTCGTACAAGTAACAAAGATAAAGAAGAGAAAGAAATTGACGTCCAGAAGAAGGCACGACCTAACTAGCAGACACAAAGACCAACACCACGAGCAAAATAAGTAGATGTAGGGTGTCCTGGAGGAATATGCCGAGTTTATATCGTATTCAGTTCGTTCGAACACATGGATTTAAACAAATAGATTGATGTACTCGGGCATGCAGTTACCGGGGGCAAAAGAAAAAGGGAAACGCTTTCCATCATACGTCTGGCAAGAAACAATCGTCAGACCGCTCAAAGAAAAGGGAGAGAGAGCATGGATATCGAATTCGTAGCAACTTCAGTCGTTGTAATGACTGCATGAAGTATACTAACTATTTAGATGGAAGGCCTTTATTCTTATACTATTATTATTATTGGGATCTCACGGTAACATGCCATGGCAGATTACATTCTGACGATGGGATAGCTCACTAGCTCAGCATACACGCACGCGCGGACTTTATTTATAGTTATAGTTATTCTGCCATGATCTCTCCATCTCCTTCACTGGCCTTCCTCTCGCGCGATCCCCATGACCGAAACTCCTCACGCATGCGCGGATGGTGGTGGCACCCGCCCCCCGATGGTGTAAGCTGCAAAAATTACGTGGTACGTGGATTAGACGAGTCCGGCCATGCAGAACTGCAGAAAAATGGATTATGCAAGCAAAATGTCCGCACGCATGCTTAGTTGCTTACTTCCGCGTTTGCTCCCGACGGGGAGTTCGATGTGGCACTCGTGGGCGAGGAGGACGAGCTTCACGGGGCTGACGGTCTGCTCGTCGGAGGGGGTGAGGACGCGGCAGATGCAGGGCATGTCAACCTTCTTCACCTCGTTTTTGCAGGCCTGGCTCGCGGGCATGTAGAAGCCATCCTTCTTGATGCTCTTGATGCAGATGTGCATGATCATGTCCTTCTCGTCGTAGCAGTCCTTCTCCCCCGCGGCGAGATGCGCCGCGAACCCGGCGACGATCGAGGCCAACAACAGGAAGCGGACGAGGGTGGCTCCGGCGCTGCCCATCTTCCTGTGCTGCTGCTGAGCTGCTGGCTACTGTGCTTGCGAGTGGTGTGCATGATGCTGGCAGTGGGAGCTCGTTTATATAGTAGCCGAGGACCCCCGGTGCACGTACGATCGACGGAGTGGACTGGAGACTGGAGAGATCGACGACCTACCTACCTGGTTGACGGCGGCGCTAGTTGCATTAAAACGGTGAGCGGCGACAAGAAAGATTAATGAGCTGAAATCTTCGATCGAACTGCCATTAGGCATGTGTCGCTTCATTGAATTCGGGTCTTCTTGGTAGTGGATGTGATGATCGACCTGAGGCATCAGGTCCATGAACAGATGAACTCAGCTGCAGATGCTACACGTACGGTTTGTTCATGGAGACAAGACAAAACCACCCCCTTCTTCCATCATGCAGTCAATCACTGAAAAGAATGGAATAATCAGCTATTCTTTTTCTTTTTCCCGAAAAACTTTCAATCTATTCATCTTCAATCATCATTACCGGAATCGCATCCTATGGCAGTGTACAACGAGCACCAAAAATACAAATTACATCCAGATCCGTAGACCATCTAGCGACGACTACAAGTACTGAAGCGAGCCGAACGCGCGCCGTCGTCATCACCCCTTCATCACCGGAGTCGGGCACAACTTCAATCAGCCATTCTAGATTAGCCTCCACGGTCGATGCTCGAAAATGGCATCATCGCCGAACCAGTGAAGAGGCATCGCATGCAGACAGTTGTATCGTGTATGCATGCCACCAACTTTTTTTGGCTCTTCAAATGCAAGCCGGCAGGTCCATTTAACTCCAAGAAAAAGCTCAAAGGCCATTAATGATCGCCCATTAGTGGGTTATATAAATCATAGGTTGTGAGGTAAAACTCAAATATTAAGATAACGTGGACGAGTATATATCGGCACATATTAGATTCTTTTTTTACATCACTGCCTATGTTCAAATTGATTTCACCTACAGCTAGTTGTTTCTTTTCTTTTGAGGGCTGCCTACAACTAGCAGAAACACGAAAATACCCCTGGCTAGGGTAGGATCTGGGTTGGATGGGACAAAAAACATACAAGCTCAAGCCCGAGCCGGCCTAGCTCGAAACGCTCAATCTGTGGCGTTTTGAAATTTTTTTTTTTGAGGGTCCGTTTTGATTTAAGTTAACTATTTTTTGATGCTGATGTAAAAAACTATTTTTTTGCGGGTGAAAAAAAAACTATTTTCTGATGCAAAACCACATTATTATTTTAAACTAAAAACTAATTCCAGCAACGTCATGCCTTTTCCGGATGTCAGGCAGGCCGAGGCCGAACCTAGCCCGGATGTCTTGCCTTCACGCTAGGTTCATCTGGATGGGCTGCCCATAGTCATGTCTTGGTAGAATTACCAAATTGATTTTAGGCCATAAATTCTAATATTTTTTCTTTTCAGAATATGTAAGTGGTGCTCCCTCCTAGGGAAACACACTTTGGTTCTCGGGTGTACATACACCCTATATGGAAGAAAACAAATTAACAATACAAAAAATTCAAAAAATCCAAAACTTTTATGAATAAACTTGTCTTTCTTTCGCACTACTAAATAATTTTTCATGAAGAAAAAGAAAACCATTGACTTCAGGGTAAAGATTTTTTTCTTCAATGGCATGGTTATTTTCTTCTTCTTTTTCATAGTGGGGGAGAACCAACTATGTGTAGGCATATTTAGTTAAGCACATAGTTAAATTCATGTCATTGATCAATGATACCTTGAATACTTTGATGACATCTTGTATGGTTGTATACTCTGGTACTCAAGTAGAGCAATATATAAACTGTACCATTTCTCGCGAATCAAATATACTGTACTGAGAAAGATGCAGCTTGGATTATAAAAGTGGCTGTCATCGCTTTGACTGAATCAATCGCAAGGTCCAGCAGCCCCAAGATTGGCTGGCTGTTGGGTGAATGAATGAATGCTTTGCTTTTTTGGCTCGCTCATTCAGTATGTAATAATAACCAGTATTGTTTGGTTGCCTGTTGTGTCTTGAAACCGAAATACTTGAAAAGAATATAGCTATCTATCTAGTATGTATGTATGTTGATGAATTTGCCTGGCTGATTAACGAGGCACCGGAGCCCCCCTCTCCTGCAAATCTATCCTTGATGCCACAAGTGTTTCCAATTTCCAAATTTGACAAAATTTGAATGAAACGACTCATATATGTATGCATCTTTTCCCTTGTCTGTGGGAAGCGACTGCTTTCAAACTTACCACTAGAAATCAGATGTGGTGTTTTTCGTTACAATAGGAGTCTTACATCACTAGTAGAAAACAGGGCTTTGGTTGAGGCCTGGGTAAGGGCATTAATCTTGGTTCACTCACGACCCGGGACCAAATGGGGCATCAGTCCCGGTTCGTGAGGCCAGGGCGCCGGCCGGGCCTCGGGGGGCCATTGGTCCTACACTAGTAGAAAACATGGCTTTGGTACAGGCCTGGCCAGCCCATTAGTCCCGGTTCAGTCACAAACCAGGACCCATGGGAGCATATGTCCCGGATCGTGAGCCCAAGGGGCCGGCCGGGCCTCGTGGGGCATTGGTCCCAGTTCATCTGTCCCCTTTGGTCCCGGTTCCAGACATGAACCGGGACCAATGGGCCTCGTTCCTGGCCCACATCCATTGGTCCCGGTTCATGGTTGGAATCGGGAGGTTCGTGGCCAATGAGGTGCCTATATATACCCCCTCGCCCGCGAGCAGAGCACTCCAGTGCTCTGTTTTTTCTGGCCGGTGAGGGGAGAGCTTTGTGGTGCTCTAGATCACCTTCTATGCACATGAGGTGTTCGATGAAATGCCCGAGCCACACTATTTAAGCTTTCTCCTCTCCAAGCTCGACCTCCGGCCTCCATTTTTCTCAAGATTTGTCTAGGTTTAGCGGTCTGTCACGTCCCCGTCTTCTCCGCCGTCGATCGCTCGCGCCGATCTCGTCGCCGGCACTACCGTGGTGATCCTCTTGTTCTTATCTTCTTTCTAAAAGAAAATAAATAAGAAGAGGAACATAAAAAATAAGAAGCTTTAGAGAGCTATATGTTGTTCAATGAGAACTATATATGTATGAACTTTATGTATTTTTTTAGTAATAACATTTGATCACTATTGTACTTTGGTTTTAATGTGATGATGAACTTCTATTAATTTGGTCACTTATCTATCCATGATGTTCTGTAATGGTTTTTGACACACTTAATTATATAATGCATGCAGATGAACCGACAATGGATGTATGGTGACAGACGCACCTCCGAGTACATTAAGGGCGTGCATAATTTTCTCGAAGTGGTTGAGGCAAACAAGCAGAATGGTTTTATGTGTTGTCCATGCCCTAGATGTGGGAATACGTAGTCTTACTCTGACCAGAAAATCCTTCACACCCACCTTCTTGAGTCATGCCACACTATAATGTTTGGACCAAGCACGGAGAAAGAGGGGTTATGATGGAAGACAACAAAGAAGAAGAGGATGATGACAACTATGTGCCCCCTGAATACGGTGATGCTGCAACGGGGGAAGCTGAAGATAAAGAGGAACCAAACGATGTGCCCGATGATGATCTTCGTCGGGTCATTGTTGATGCAAAGAGACAATGCGGAAGTGAAAAGGAGGAGTTGAAGTTCGATCGCATGTTAGAGGATCAAATAAAAGGGTTGTACCCCAATTGCGAAGATGGCAACACAAAGCTCGGTACCACACTGGAATTGCTGGAGTGAAAGGCAGACAATGGTGTATCTGACAACGGATTTGAGAAGCTACTGAAAATATTGAAGAAGAAGCTTCCAAAGGATAACGAATTGCCCGACAGACGACAGTACGTACGGAGCAAAGAAGGTTCTATGCCCTCTAGGATTGGAGGTGCAAAAGATACATGCATGCCCTAATGACTGCATCCTCTACCGCGGTGCGTACTGCTACCTCTTGAGCATGCGTTGGTTTTCCCTTGAACGGGAAAGGGTGATGCAACAAAGTAGCGTAAGTATTTCCCTCAGTTTTGAGAACCAAGGTATCAATCCAGTAGGAGACAATGCACAAGTCACCTAGTACCTGCACAAACAATCAAGAACCTTGCAACCAATGTGATAAAGGGGTTGTCAATCCCTTCACGGTCACTCACAAAAGTGAGATCTAATAAAGATAGTAAAGTAAATATTTTTGGTATTTTTGTTGTATAGATTGGAAAGTAAAGATTGCAAAATAGTAAACGAGATGCGATGTAAATAAAAGAGATGCAATATAATAAGAAAGAGACCCGGGGGCCATAGGTTTCACTAGTGCTTCTCTCAAGATAGCAAGTATTACGGTGGGTGAACAAATTACTGCCGAGCAATTGATAGAAAAGCGCAGAGTTATGAAGATATCTAAGGCAATGATCATGAATATAGGCATCACGTCCGTGTCAAGTAGATCGAAATGATTCTGCATCTGCTACTATTACTCCACACATCGACCGCTATCCAGCATGCATCTAGAGTATTAAGTTCATAAGAACAGAGTAACGCATTAAACAAGATGACATGATGTAGAGGGATAAACTCAAGCAATATGATATAAAGCCCATCTTTTTATCCTCAATGGAAACAATACAATACGTGCCTTATTGCCCCTACTGTCACTGTGAAAGGACACCGCAAGATTGAACCCAAAACTAAGCACTTCTCCCATTGCAAGAAAAATCAATCTAGTAGACCAAACTAAACCGATAATTCAAAGAGACTTGCAAAGATATCAAATCATGCATATAAGAATTTAGAGAAAAACCAAATAATATTCATAGATAATCTTGTTCATAAACCCACAATTCATCGGATCTCGGCAAACACACCACAAAAAAGTATTACATCGAATAGATCTCCAAGAACATCGAGGAGAACTTTGTATTGAGAATCAAAGAGAGAGAGAAGAAGCCATCTAGCTAATAACTATGGACCCGAAGGTCTATGTTAAACTACTCACGCTTCATCAGAGAGGCAATGGTG